AAATCTACATTAAAAGTATATGAAATTTCATGCAATTTTTAACAGTGAATACAAAATAGTTATAGGAGTAAATACCGCTGATTCTTTGGTAATTGTCGAAAGAAATGAGTCTGGGCATGCCATTGGTGTATTAAAAGCATTATACAATGAAACCAGACTTATTTTAGAATCCATGAATTTCTCAATCAATTTGCTTGAAGCCAAAGAAAAAAAAATACGCTACAGGATTAAATTTTTTAATTGAAAAATTAAGAAATAACGAAATCAGTCTGATAGCAGTTCCACGTGGTTACCATGTAGTATATGGAAATATAACTCACGCTTATACCGAAGAAGATTGCTTCAAAATCAGTGCTTTAATACCTGAAGAGTACAAAAATCAAATTGAATTTCCAAAAAAAATGATAACATCATTGCTGGTTTTTCCTGCGTTTTTAGGACTAATTGTATGGATCCTTAAACTTATGAACATTTTTAGCCAGAAAATTTCTGTATTAAAAATTTTAGGAGCACTGGTATTACTGTTTCATTGAAACTGTCCAAAAACTCCGACTTAATAACCCTATCGTGCATCTTTTTAATCTCTACTATATATCCAAGTGATTTTTTTTCTCAATTCGTCGATATGAAATTAATTCAACGTGCGAATACTTTCGATACATTCAAGAGCATCGTCGAATCCAATTTAGACATATTTGTATTTATAATGTATGAGCAAAATATTCAGGAAATCAATGACATCAATGCAATTCAGATAAAAAAAAGAAGCACGATTTATAACGATCCCAGAGACTGCGTCAATAAATTGCTGACCGAGCGAAATCTTTTGTGCATTGGGGCTTACGATACCTTCGCTAATTTATTACAAATAATTGGCAAAAGGGAAGTTCACCGAACAATATTCGCTGAGCAGATATTCGGATACCTTCCAAGGTCATATTTATTTGAAAGAGCCAGTCCTTACGCTAAAAGATATCAGAATAAATTGAGACAGCTGCATGAATGTGGAATCGATATGTTTATCAGAAAACATTTTGATGAATTCGAGGACAAATATGGAAGAAATTCTTACGCCCTTATGCCTGACCAATTTCACATTAATTTGATCTTTATAGTAGCTTGTGGTATGGTTTTATCACTCATTGTATTTTTAATTGGGCGTTTATTGAATCACATAGTGGTCAAAGCAAGAAAATTTAATTTTTTGAGGCTGCCATTCTAAATCCTTAAGATTCAAATTTTCTAAAAATGTGAATTGATACTTGTGTGAATGAAATTACGTTATGAAAAGTTTAAAAAAAAACTAGTCATTAGTAAATAACTCATTTGCAACGTATATATAATGAGATTTCAAATATAATTATATATATCATCGCAGCCATATATAATTAACATAACATTACCGGTACATAAAATAATTCAAAAATCTTTCGAAAGAAAATTGTGTCAAAAACAATTATTTTTCTTGTTCGCACTAAAAGACGAAATAGTCCCTCTGAAGTGGTGTTTCGAGTTACAATGCAGTATTGGTGGTTGCATTACTCAGGCGCTACTTTGTCACTACATTAGAATATTTTGTATTATTAAAAAAATTGATGATCTATAAACATTCAAGACCTTCACCAAAAAATTAATTAAATTAATTATCAACAAATTTGTTTAAAAATATCGATTTCATAACAATCGGTAAATATTATTGTTATGGCAATAAATTAAGTAGTGCTTTTATTATTCTGATAGAGTTTTAATCAAACCTCAACTCATCAATGATTGTATATTAAAGATGAAGATTGAATAAAACTTATATATTTTCAAGACCTTGAAGAAACCCCTCTCAAATCTGCTAATGCAGCAAACTGTAGATTTCGATTCAAGAATAAAAAAAATTCTCTGCGTTTTCTGGTTGCCATATTGTTGAAATCATTTATCTATTTATAACCACATGACTTTCTTGTTATTCACTTTTGATTCAATCAATTCTGCTGGTCGAGAAAATTTTCCGGCATTCGATAAGGTCAATCGAAGAACGAGAAGACCTAATTCCAGTCGATGCGAAGAGAAAAAAGCGGGAGCAAAGTGAAATAATCAAATATTTTAATGTAATACTGATAGTACGAGTCACTCGTCGTGCAGTGTTGGTATGTGATATTGTCCAGTGTGTTTAATACGCAATAAAATTATTGTGTTAATATTTTTTTCAAACATGTGAATAGTTCTATAATACATACTTTTATGAATTTGCGATCATTGTAAAAAAAAGTACAGGTATCAATCGGTTGTAAGGAAAAGAAGTTGTTTTTAAATTTTTCTTATATCTCGTTCAAAAGTTATAGAAAAGTTAGAAATAATGTTGCTTATGACTTTCATTTTCGGCTTATTAGTACCGTGTTTTTGCATGGTCAACAATGAAGGTATGTAAACATTTGAAACTAATCATTCACACTTTCAAATGATAAACTTTTCGGTAGATAATAGCAATACAGAAAACAGTAGCAGTCTCATCGATCTCACCGAGGAGTTTAATCCAGTGGAAACATGTATTACTCACCCACATCACTGCAAAAATGTTTACAAATATTTGGTTTACATGAAATCTTCGAGCTTATGGATGCGCCGGTTGGATCGCCCGGAGCCGTCGAACCCAATTTTGATGAAATTCCAAGTTTTTAGTTACGTCGATTTGTACCATCTCGCCGGTATCGAATACTCGGAAAAAAGAAAATCGTTTTTTTATGCAGACTGCTTACATTTCCGTGAAGTCCCAGCTCTAGATCTCGATAATGAAATCGATTTTATGACTAAAAACAGTTCGAGGCAATGTTTTGGCTACTTAGCATACGATGATAAGGTGGACACTATATTTTACATTGTTTATCAAGTTCATTTGAAAATGTATGCACTCATCAAACACGATATGACGAAAAAAAACGACGACCGTGGAGTCCAACTTATGAAATTGAACCATGAAAGGCCTATCGCTGTCGTAATTCACGAAGACAAAGCTTTAGTATATTTAGCTTCGATTTCTAAAGAAACTAACAGAGGATGGATCGAAAAGATGGACTACTTTGGCCAAGGAGGCAAAGTCAACCTCGATGAGGATGTCAGGTAACAATTTTTATTTCTTCCATTTTTGATCTATTAATAATTATGGGCATTTATCTATCGTAGAAGTTTGGCGCTCGATGCAAAGGAGGATCGTTTCTATTTTACTACGCGTTCCGGTGAATTGAAATCTGCGGATTTAGATGGTCAGAATGTTCGCACCTTGACTAGTCACGTTCCTACTCGCAACACGCACAATATTGTCATCGACAACGACTGGATTTACATTAAAAATCGCACAAGCATTTGGCGATTAAATCGCAACAATTCAGATATCGAAAATGAGGTTGTACCGCATGACGACGAATCACTTTTGATATCGTCAATGAAGATAGTAATGAAACCCGAGAATTCTTACGTGGAAAGAAAATATCTGTTAAGTCGGGAACCAAAGTGCGAACGTATTTGTGTGCATATCGATTCAGATGGATTCCACACCGAAGAAACCGGAAAATACGATATCAGTGGCCAATGTCAGTGTTCGCAAAAAGATATTCTATGAAAATCCACTTGCTTAGCTTATACTGACCTATTGGCAATATCAGCTTTTAATTTAAAATCAAATTTTTTAAATCTGACAATAAATTTCTTTCACGAAACTAACATAAACAATCAGAAGATTAAATTATTAATTTAGCTAAGGCGTGAAAGATAAAAGACCAAGCGTCACAATGATTTAGAAGGTTATTTCCTTCTTTTCTAATAAGATATTTAATATAAAATACTATAATTTAAAATTATTTTTACTTAATTGAAATAAAATGCGTAGATGTTTTTTCTTCAGGCTGTCGCTGACCTAAACAAGATGTCTGAATTTTTTCTATCGATGTGAAACACAGCCAATCCCACGAGTTAATGATCAATCAACAATTAGATATCTAACCTCTTAGAAGGCTTTTAAAATCATTTTAAGTACTCTGTATCCTTTTCTTAGTCAGTTTTTATTTTTAATCATCGATATGTAACATTTCCAAATTACGCGCCTTTTATAATCGACTCCTAATTCAGTATCTAAGATTTTTTGTATTTAACTTGTTGGACCGCGAAAATAAATGAAAATATAGTCGTCTCGAATAAAGTATGGAATAGTATGGGCTACTTTGGACTCAAGTCCTTAGCCTGAAGTTAATAAATATTAAATATTTCAGATGAAAAATGTTTCAAGATAAATTAATTTATTATAAAAGCTAAGTTAATAATTTAATTTCCTAATTTTGATGTTAATTGTTGAGATAAGCATTTTTGTTTCAATTTTTTTTTAACTTAAAAATAATAAAAACATATTTACTCCCGGCAGTACAAAAAACTGTTCAATATTCCATATTTCAATGACATATCGGGAACAAGCATCATTTTCAAAACGATTAGGAAAATTGCTCACTCTCAAGTATGAACAGAAACATGTTTTAAAAACTACATTTAAAGCTATAAAAAAATTTTTATAAAATAATTTTAATCTTCGTAATCATAAAACAATGCGAAGTTCAGTTTTCTTTCAGACAAAACCCAAACTCTCCGCATTAAAAATTATATCTCTTATTAGTTTGAGATTATTATTTTGCTGTACAAACGTGTGCGAAGTGAATACTTTAAGTCACAGTTGCATGAATTCAATAATTAAAAGGATCAGTGGAATCCATCCCCGTCAAATCGTGCTGATTTTCAGTACTACCAGATATTATCACCGTGACGAAGAAAACTTGATATCAAAACTTATATTGTGCCAAAACATTTCCACTACTACAGTTGAAATTAATTTTTTGGCTGCAGATTTTATAGATGATTCGGACTCTATCAATATAATTTTAGTTCGAGACGAAACTGCAATAGATTACGTTAAAACATACATTGATATGTAATCTCAAATATTTCCCGATAAAATCCGCCCCAAAACTTTAATTATTTTTCTAATAAAATTCAAAAGTAAGTCTCTCGGCGCCATCGAATCAATTTCTAAATATGGTTGGAGTAAACAGTTTTTAGATATTTCATTCATTCAAGAGGAAAATGCTTGTATTGTACAAATATACAATCCCTTCAGTAGAGAAATGATAAAACAAAACATTAAAGACAACTCAGAGAAAATATTTCCAGATAAATTACTCAATGGACATAGACACAAAATAATAATAGGAATCAATGCAGGCGATAAACTATCAGCTCCGATTAGAAATGAATCTGGACATGCTATCGACATTCTAAGACCACTGTACAATGAAACTAAGCTTGTTTTAGAAAGTATCAATTTTTCCAGTTCCTTCGCTGAAACCAATAAAACTGATTACACCACAGGATTAAATTTTTTGATTGAACAATTGAGAAATAATCAGATCAGCCTAATTTCAGTACCACGAGGTTATCAGAAAATTTATGAAAATGTAACTCACGTGTACACAGAAAGGGAATGCATGAATATATCAGCTTTAATTCCTGAACAGTTGAAAGGGCAAATACAATTTCCGAAAAAAATCTTACAATCTTTACTTGCGGTTCCTGTAACATTAGGATTCATTATCTGCATTCTCCGACTCACAAAAATTGTTAGCGACAAAGTTACAATATTGAAAATTTTGGGCGCCCTATTTGGTATCAGCGTAGGCTTGAAGCCGTCTAAAAACTCAGAATTGACAGCTTTGATGAGTATATTTTTAATTTCTACCGTTTATCCTACAGATTTTTATTCCGTTTTTATTGAAGAGAAATTGATTCAAAACACTGAAACTTTCGATACATATAAAAGCATTGATGAGTCGGAACTAGAAATATTCATTTTCACAGTGTATTCAAATTTATTGGAAGATACTAATGATACCAACGCAAATAACATGAAAAAGAAAAGTAAACCATATTTTAGTTCTGTTTCATGCATAAGACCATTAGTGATCGAACGCAATCGTACTTGCATTGGAGCTTTCGATGCACTTCAAGATTCAATTGAAGAAGTAAAGTGCCATGAAAAAAATTGTCACATATTGTATGCTAAAAAGCTATTCGGTTGTTATGCAAGATCATATTTATTTGAAAAAGCTAGTCCGTATGCAGATAGATTCCAGAATAAGTTAAGACAGCTTCGTGAATATGGAATTGATATTTTTATTAAAAGAGGATACGATAAGATTATAGTCGACGATCAAGAAAATGGACGTTCACTGTCCCCAGATTTATTTCATATTCACTTGATTTTCATCGTAGCTTCTGGGGTAATTTTATCATTTTTTGTACTTGTAATTGAAAATATCTTGAATTTCATAGTCATTAAAGCAGAAGAGTCAAATTTTTTCAAAACTTTGGGTAAAATAATTTCTAATAAAAAATATAAAAAAACTTAATATAATCACAAATAAAAATTATTATAATGCTTCCAGTTTGACGCTCCCATTTAGTCCATATTTAAAACGTATATTTTTAGCGATAGTCATGTCGGTGTTCGATTCCTTAGGTTTTCTCGTTCCTATTCAGGCATGTTTGTCAATGCAGAGTATATGGAGTAAGAATGTTCATTGAGATTAGCTCATACCAGAATCAGAGTTTACTCAGTGGCAAGTATGGCTGCAAGTCTTAGAACTCGTAAAAAAATTAAAAATGAACCGATGTTATCAATTATCGCAAGCTCAAGTTAAAAAAGCTGAACTTCATATATTCTGCGATGCAAGTTCAAGAGATTACGGGGTTGAAGCGTATTGGCGTTTCAATTTAGGTAATAACAAGTATCACGTTTCTTTTATTATTGGTAAAAATAAAGTAGTCTCAAATAAAGCCAATACTACAATTCCTAGATTAGAGCTTCAAGCTGCTTTTATTGCAGTAAGACTTGCGAATGCAATTTAAGCCGAACACAATTTCGAGGTAACGTGAAGTGTTTTTTTATGTGATTCCAAAATATTGTTGAGCTGGATTAAAAAAATACACAAATGCTTTTTAGACATTTGTTTTCAATCGTATTCGAGAGATATGCCACAAATCGAAAGCTCTTGAGTGGAGATGGATAAACTCTGAATGGAACGCCGCGGACGATGCGACAAAATATGTTCCGTAAGCTATACTCGCAGATAGCAGGTGGTTGCAGAGTCCGCACTTTTTATTCGAGTCAGAGCAGCATTGGCCGTTTTTAAATGAACTTGAATCGCATAAGGGGACGGAGTGAGTCACGAGTTTTGCAGCAACGGGTATTTTTTGTGTCGTCGTGCAACGATCTGTGCATTGATTTTGATCGCTTTTCGAAGTAATTTCGTGCAGTCTCTGCGGTATTGCGTGTAGTAGAAGCTAAAAACCATGGTTACATGTACGTACGTCCGATATTAGGCGATTCTTAGAAGCCGAAAATATATGGGTCAGATTCAGAATTTTTCAAATAAACCTGCGGGCGAGGTTCACGGATTTTCCTGAAATTTTGGTATGTTATAGTACATGATAAAAAAGTGCCAAAACCAAAATTTTGGACCCCCCCCCCTCCTACCCCCCTACTCCCCTATAGACGTCCATTTTCTAACTATATTTTTTCTGAAGGCCTGAAGCTATTAAAAAATCTGAAAAAATTCATGAAGGTACTTTTCAACAACCCGAACAATCTTGAATTTTTTCAGATTTTTCGAGTGCTTCAGGCCTTCAGAAAAAATCATTGAAAATTTAAATTATTTTATTTTCGTTGAAATGGTTCGATGTACCAGACCGGAGTATTTTTTTCTGAATTCTGACGTCAAAAAACGATTCCTTGATTTTTTTCAGAATTTTTCATTCATGTCCATTCTGCCTAGAGCTGAAACCCCGCTTTTTTTCACGAAAATAATTTTTTTAAGGCGCTACGGAGCCTCGAAAAATCTGGAAAAATTTTTTTCTCATTTTGTTCATCAAAATACATAATCTCAAATTTTTTCAGATTTTTTAATTGAAGGCGATAGCGTCTGGAGCCGAAAAACGTTATTTTTAACAAAAAAGGTTCCTGGAACCCGATGGTTCCGGTAAAAAAATTTGAAAAAATTTTTTTTGAATTCCTTGTCAAATTTTAATAAATTTTGACCGTTTCAAAAGTTCGATTGAAGCTTCCTAGCTCATTTTAGAGCATCAAACGAGTTTTATCATTCCTTAATGTCTTCAGAAACGTCTTCAGATATTTTGCACTAATCTTTGTCCTGCTCTAAAATGAGCTAGGAAGCTTCAATCGAACTTTTGAAACGGTCAAAATTTATTAAAATTTGACAAGGAATTCAAAAAAAATTTTTTCAAATTTTTTTACCGGAACCATCGGGTTCCAGGAACCTTTTTTGTTAAAAATAACGTTTTTCGGCTCCAGACGCTATCGCCTTCAATTAAAAAATCTGAAAAAATTTGAGATTATGTATTTTGATGAACAAAATGAGAAAAAAATTTTTCCAGATTTTTTGAGGCTCCGTAGCGCCTTAAAAAAATTATTTTCGTGAAAAAAAGCGGGGTTTCAGCTCTAGGCAGAATGGACATGAATGAAAAATTCTGAAAAAATTCAAGGAATCGTTTTTTGACGTCAGAATTCAGAAAAAAATACTCCGGTCTGGTATATCGAACCATTTCACCGAAAATAAAATAATTTAAATTTTCAATGATTTTTTCTGAAGGCCTGAAGCACTCGAAAAATCTGAAAAAATTCAAGATTGTTCGGGTTGTTGAAAAGTACCTTCATGAATTTTTTCAGATTTTTTAATAGCTTCAGGCCTTCAGAAAAAATATAGTTAGAAAATGGACGTCTATAGGGGAGTAGGGGGGTAGGAGGGGGGAGGGGGTCCAAAATTTTGGTTTTGGCACTTTTTTATCATGTACTATAACATACCAAAATTTCAGGAAAATCCGTGAACCTCGCCCGCAGGTTTATTTGAAAAATTCTGAATCTGACTCATATGTATTCGTACAAGTCAAATACCAAGAATAGAAAAATGATAAAGTTATTAGTGAATCGCTATAAAGTTATTGTGGGAAGTGAAATTCAGTGGCCTCCTGGTACATATCATTTGCATGAAGTTTCCTCTTGCGATTAGATCTTCTGACTTCTTGGGATGCCAACACAGTTTTTCTAATACTTTTCTCTACTCTTTTATTATCTTCTTCTTGACATATTGTCCTGAAGTAATAGCATACTCCCTTATTATTTTGATAAGAGAAGACTTGCCATCATTGAAATTTGATATTGCAAAGTATGTTCCAAAATTGAAAACTGTGTTGCCACTCCATAGTTTTTTAGGGACACACCTCCATAACATCTGGTTGAACGATTCATTTGGATTTTGGGTGAATCATCCAACGCATTTGTGTAGAAGTTCCGCTTTACTCAAATCAGTGTAGATAATTTTTATGGCATCCATAACTGACGGTGGAAGTGAGTTTGTGTGTTTGAAGATCCTCAAAGTGCCGTTTGCTTTGACTTTTTGCCATTGGCACCATTAATTTTTTCCAATGGAGCAGAGATCATGTGAGGCTCTCTGTTACTGGATCTTTTGTGTTTCCAAGTAGCCTATATATCATTGTACATCTCTTGGACCGTGAAACTATCTGTAACTGCTTTACCGTAATACTTGGACAGAATATCAATAACTGCACCAGTAAGTCTGCCTTTTCCACCAATGGTTTTACCATCACTCAGGGTAGTTCTGCCCAGCTCTTTCTTATTATCACGTAGGCGTTTTCCTATCCTTTTGCCTACATGGTTGATATCTTCTTTCTTCTCAATTTTAAAATCTTCTCTATGTGGCTCATCTTCACATATTCTCTTATATACTTCAGCATCTTCATCGCCAATGTAATTTTTATAGATGACTTTATATTTCCCAACTGATCTCTTGAAAATATCTGAAATACAATCTACTCTCATACTGTTAGAACTACCTGTGTGATTAGCTTCACAAAATGGTTTATGTTGTTCAAGCCAATCATCATATACGCCAGTATCTTTATCTTCATTTACCCAAAAGCTGCAAGCTTTATAAAAATTATTTTTTATGGAAACATCTAATTTCTACCTAAACATCTAAATCTACCTTCCCAGTATTTATTCCAATAACTGTTGCAGTACATTGGTGAGAATGTAAGCCTGGTGAACGCAAAGTGCCATCACCAGAGATGTTTGTTCTCTGTATTTTGTTAGTTGAATTTCTTTCTCAATAGAAATTCTTCCCGAGTAGAGATAGAGCGACTTGAAAATCAAAGGTCAATTGATAAATCGAGTGTCATATTATCGCTTAGTCCTTATTTGTGTGATAATGGTATTCTTAAAGCTAATAGTGGCATTCGAGAGATTTTAAACTCAGAAATGTTTCCAGATCCGATTATTTTGCATTCTAAGGACCAATACACGAGGTTATTAATTGAACATTGCGTAGATTCGCGTCCGCTCACTCACGTCTCTCTCGATATGCGTGATGGAGAAGCTTTAACACCTAATCATTTTTTTGGCACTTTAACTAGTCAGATACATTTTTCACATTATAATCAATCCGAAAATTGTTTGAGGCAAGACTATGAGTTAACTCAAGTTTACGCTGATCGGTTTTGGAAAAGATGGTTGCACGAATATTTACCTACTCTTGTGCCAAGAAAAAAATTGTTTAAAATTCAGATACCGCAGAAGGTAAATGACGTAGTTTTAATTTGGTCGTATAATTTGGCCAGAAATACTTAGGAAAAAGGAGTAGTCACTCGCGTATTTCCCAGTAAAGACGGTCAAGTAAGAGTTGCCGAGGTAAGGAAACCAGGTGGAAATTAATTGTTGTGTCCTTGCAATAAATTAATTTAATTCACTTAATTTTTTTTTAGAGAGGGTGGATGTTTAAAAAATTAATTGCAAAGTAGAAAGAAATAGCTTTTCACAAATACGAATAACTATCTAATGAAATTCTTTGGTTCTGCACAGTGATTTTATTTTTACAGTTATTATTTTCTGTTGTTCATTATGATGAAATTTATTGCTGTTTTTTATATTATCGAATTTATTGTAAATTTTCTCATCATTATATGTATCCTTAAATTTTTTTATACACATGAGCAGAGTTATTTATTTTTAAAAGCAGTTTAATTAATAATTCAGTCTTTGAGATATCAAAGAGTTGAAAATAATTAATGAATAAAAAAGCAAACTTCATAGAAATAAGGGAACGTGAGTGCAGTAAATTGGCTAATACATGATATCAAGCTGTAAAGTCGATGTAACGTCCGGAAGGGACTTTGAGTTGCGAACTGAAGATTCGCGTGGCCTTGGATAACGATTTTAGCCTTTTCTCGTGCCACGTCCACGAGGAGACGTAGCACGAGAGGTTGGCTGAGGATCGGCGACTTGCGAGCGATGTGTTTGTACGGGAATGAGGGAGAGACGTGGGAATGCGTATGTGGAGGAGAAATATGGTACCGAAGAGGTTTATTTACAGCGGTCTTGGCTGAGACCGGTTCGGGGTAAAACATTGTTTATTAATTTCTTTAGAGTGTTTCATTCATTGGTTATGTAAAAATAGAAATATTCGCCATGTGTTTTACGTTCTCGAACATTCGTTCTTTCGATCGTTCGATGTGGCTTTTTCCGTAGAGAGAATAAGTAAACGTCGGCTTTTTATGGCGGTCGTAAAAAAGGTGTTAGATTTCTTTCTCTACGGCCCGACGCGCTTGGGAAGTCCCGTTCAGATCGTGGGCTCGCAGATGCGGCGGGCTGCCTATGTGTAGGCTCTTTTAGAGTACTTGGTGTTTGAAATTTTTGGTGCCTATGCGTAGGCGACATTACATCGAAATCAAATATCTTAACACATTCAAAATAGTTTATTTTTCATGCCGCGTATCTCAAGTCGATTACGTTAAAGATCTTACTTCTTAACACATCTCTGTTCAGTACAGTACGAGCAAATAGTATGGTTTAAAATTTTTTCGAAACAAACTAAGAAAGCCCTTCAAACAAGTTATTCCATTTAAGTATGAAGTTACATGACATTGCAAATCAATAATACACTTATCCTAATCGCATGCCAGCATTATTTTCAAAACAACTGAAGGTTGCGTGTACACCCGCCTAGTTAGATACGCGGACCTCGA